AGAAATACTTGAGCCGGCAGTTGAGGTGACTGTTGATAAGGAAGCAGCCTACCAGACGTTGAGGTGAGATCTAAGACGAAAGGATGATGAATACATGTGCCACGATTTAGACGAGATGTAAGAAGAAAGGATGATGAGTAGATCTGCCACGATTCCGGAGATCGGGTCAGAAAAAGCCAGAAATAGTCAGCAAGATTCCTCCCACTGCGTAATACATACGGTGCGATTACCCATGCAGTTCACGTTATTACTCCACGAGAAAAAGCAGTTAACATTAAGTTTAACCCTCGCCCGTATCGCACTTTTTACAGCGTCTAAGGTAGGTAAAGGGAGGAGGGACTATAGGAACCCTGCGGTTCGGCCCCTCACGATCGAGCTAGAGCTTCGAGGAAAATCGAGCGTGTGGCCCGTGACGGGAGGTAGCCGATGTTACCCGATTTTTAAGTCCTAGGTCATAGGCTGACCTTCAGGTCAGGTCGGTGACCCAAAAGTCGGAAAAGCGTGACCTGCTAGAACGTCGTAACGCCCGTATTGACATTTTCATGGCGTGTAACATAAAGCCCTGATCGAGCTAGATCAGGCTTGATATAATTAGTCCATAATTTTTTCCTGACCTCGGGCATCTTCTTTTCCGCGAAGATGGTGGGGACGTATAGCAAGTTAGAGCGCTGCCAGCAATGTTTTAAGGTAATTATAAGTCCATCAATTGTTTAAAAACAACTCCCGCTCAAATTGAGCTTGCGAGTCGAGAAAGGGCCCCGCTAACTTGAATGTATTGCCGAATCGAATGATATGGAGCAAGCCTTCCCTAGACTATATGTTCTGCCCTGACGGGATTTATTCTAGCATTTACCTTATATAGGTCAGTGCTTGGGCTGACTTTCTGATAAAAAGCTAGACGTGGCTAGACATACAAACGCGATGGTGCCAACATCGATCATTATTGCTCTTTCTCTACGATCAAGAAGACCTTTATCGTGTTGTCGAATGGTGACTGGGCAATGGCCACGGTATAATTAAATCAACAAGCAGATGCACAAAACAAGTACCTAAGTCTACCAATTTAAGGTGACCTTATTGTAGACTGCGCCAAGAGGATCAAGAATGATGCATGCAAATTAGGTACCTACTGTCGACGTTTAAGAGTCGAGATATTCAGTTCCACTTAACGCTCGCCCCTGTAGGGGAGGGGGGTCGAACGGACCCTCCTCGGTTTTTCGCGAACAACTCGCATAAAAGCGGCCGATCGCGACGAAACTTTGAGTAGCCTCGAGTTGATCAATTCTACACCTACCCTGAAAATCGCATGACCCTGACCCAAATGACCTTTAGCCTGTGACCTATTCTCGAGACCATGTTTGGCCGGAATCGCGTTTCGTCGTATATCGGCTCGCATTAGCCACGCGTTTGCACTCTTTTCGTGGTCTCAAGCGTTCAAACATGTTGATTGTTGGTGCCTTATGGTAGGTGTCAAGGTCGCCTGAAGGGGTCAGCTCATTGACCTTTGCTGACTTCGGTTCACTTTTTCGAATTTTACATGTTTCTAAGCTACTTTTTGGAGCTGAATTCGAATTTAGCAGCCATTTACGAAGAAGTTTTGGTGCCTTCGTAAAACGTCACGAGGCTATCAGAGGCAGTTGACGCGTACCTATCCTACTACAAATACCCGGCAGGACCTTTACTGGTTAACCTGACCGGACCTGACCCGACCTGGCCTAAATGCATTAACCCTCGCGGGCCCGGGGGGGGGGCGTTTTTCGCCCCCCCCCCCTGGCGAATATTTGCGATAACTCCCGAACGCTTAGGGATAGGACGACGAAACTTTCAGTACCTTTTCTCCCATCAATTTGACATCTTCTGAAGTAAAAAAATTGGACCTAGCCCCCTTGATGACGTCACAAGGTCCATTTTTCTAGACCCCTGCACGGCAAACTTCGGCGTCACAGACGCAAACTTCAAATAGCTGCCAAAAATAGAGTTTTAGAGATAAAGACAAATTACGAGCACGGCTGTGTAGCGTTTCACCTAGAGAAAAATAGAAAAATAGTTTTGGTGACCTGAGGTCAGAGGTCAGGTCAACGACACCGAAATGTGGTTTTAGTTTTTCGCAAATAACTTCGACAAAAATGGTCCTAGAGCTACGGCAGTGGTACCATCGCATTCGCCTTGTCAAGCCGCGTCGAATGGTATATATTTTGTTCGGAAAAGGTCAAGTTTCATGTTGACCTCATGTGACCTCGAATGACCTCTGGTTGACCTTGACACATGAAAGGTCGTTTATGATGGATTTGTACCCGCTGATCACGAATCTGGCATCTATTTTCCTCTAAGCTTTCATTTAGAGCTTCCGGATGGCAAAATTGTCTTATTTTTTATTACTAACTTGAATCAGTGAAATAGCCTCTAGCAGGGATACTCTTCTGTGACCTTGACCTTTGAGCAGCCTTGTATCGTAAGATGAACCACAAATAGGGAACTGATAAGCCTCAAAACATTTCAAAACATCTTGGAAGTTAGCACGCAAGATGTGCGAAAAAGTGCCAAGTTTGAGGTCAATTTTGAGCGTGACCTTGACCTTGACCTTTGATTTGGAGCACATTTTCAGAATCCTCAGATTCTCTTCTTTCGTTTGACACCCAATTTTGCCGGTTTGATGCAGCCTGTCGTCCTCTAGAAGGCTTACTTTGAGATCACTACACATGTGCCGGTTTTGGCCTTTGACCTTGACCTCTGACCTTGAAAATTGACCTGAGGTCAAACATTTTAGGTGCATTAGAATCGTCTCGTAAGGACCTTTCGTTTGGTATCGCTTTTGTTTCCGTAGCTCCCTTATTTACGGAGTTAGACAGGGGGCGGGGGCGAAAAACGCCCCCCCCGGGCTGCGGTGGTTGGGATTACCCCCCGGGCCCGGCCGGGTTAAGACATCATCTGTGATCAAAACTAACATGATATTCGTGATCAGCACCCCGAAAAAACATGGCAGCCATACTTTACGACGTTCTTAGTTCTTACAGTCCCGATTTTCCCGACTTTTAGGTCATTGACCTGACCTGGAAGGTCAACCAATGACCTAGGACCTTAACCCTCGCCCCGTTGGGGGGGGGGGCCATTTTGGCCCCCCCTGTGGTTTTTCCTGAATAGCCAGAAAACGGCGGCGCGCAGCGCCGCCAAATTTTCAGTACCTTCCCGGGCATCAATTTGACACCTTCACACCAAATTTCAAGTCTTAGGTCACCTTGGGTCAGGAGTTATTGAGGTCAAACTGAGGTCATGTTCGAGCAAAAATGAGCAAAAAACATGCAATCTTGAAACGCTCACCAAATCAGTAAATCAAAGTTGTTTATTTGGTCTAGTAGACAAAAAGCGGCGCTACAAAACTGCTATCTCGGATTTTCAAAATTTTGGGTTTTTAACATATGAAAATTCAAAAAATTGATTTTTTTTCAGAAAAACTAAAAAAAAATCTAAAATTTTTCCGAATTTAAAAAACCGGAATATATGTGATAGTTCCTGCGCTCTTCTATATACATACCAAATTTCAGATCGATATCTCGTTTTTTGGCCAAGTTATAGCGAAAAAACTGTTCAAAAATGATGACGTCAAATTTTTGAACTCAATTTTTAGCGATTCTAGACCACGTACGGCAAAACAAAGACCACCATTGAACTCCCCGTGACGAGCTGCATCGATTCGATACCCATTTTATGCAAAAATATTAACTTTGAAATTTGACCTAATTTGACCTGACATTGACCTGACCTTGACCAAAACGTGACCTAAGCTGGCCCCAAAGGCTGCCTGACCCACATAATCGCATTTGTCATGTAAAATGGACCATAACACATGTATCACACGACACTTTCATATTGTGACCCCCCAGTGACCTGACCTCTGTGACCTGACCTGGTATCAGTGACCTCAAGTAGCAAAATATGTGTTTGAAGAACATTTCCCCATCGATGATTTTCAATGAAATGCATTTTACTCGATTTTACAACGCATTTCTTGAAATGCCTGTAAACGGTGAAAATTGGACCTTTGACCTGACCTGTGACGTCATCCGTTTGACCTAGGTCAATAAAATTGGGTCACAAGGTAGTTCCCTGATACGGCTATCCAACACCGTTTGCCGCTTGTCGCTAGGTTGCGTGGTTCTCGAGATCTTAGGGGGGGGGCAAAATCCCCCCCCCCCCAACAGGGCGCGTTGCTCGGCAGAGCCCAACGGGGCGCGGGTTAAAATTGGGTATCATCGGCTTTCTCTTGCCATGGGCAACACGGTCGTTTTTTTCCGCCAAGCTCTAGCTCGATCAGGGGCCAATCGGCAAGGGGGGAATCCAACGAACCCCCTCCCCCTTATACGTTCGCGGCTGACAAAACATCAATATGGGCCGGAGTTAACATATGTGGAAGTACAACATTTACTCAGGCTATGCGTGTTTATTGTAGGGCCGTAAATCTGAAGACCCTTTCGGGTCGAAACGGTTCGCTTTCGACTTTTGACCCTTTCGGGTCGAAAGTCGAAAGCGGCAGCAGCCAGTCCTCCGCGACAGGTCACGTGGCCCGCTGGCTGCACGGGCCGGCCGGTCACGTGAGCCGGGCCGCCACGCGGTGGGTGTCGGCGGGCCCCTGAGCGGCGGACCTGTGGGGTACTCGGCCCTGGGCGGCACGTCTGATCGTGCTAGCGCCACAGTCTGCCGGCCCGCAGTAGAGCCAACAAGTCCCTGCCCACGCAGCACCATGACGGGAGCCAAGTCAAGCGGCGTCACACGCAAAAAGACAGACAGCTCACGTCAGCACCGACTGGAACGTAATCACGATGACGGAAATCGGGTCACCGCTGCGAGTGAGAGCCAACACACCGGTATCAAGGACAGCGACAAGACCTCGCGCCGGAGAATGTTCATCGACCACCGCCACTGGCATCAGGACAAGACAACAACCCCTCCCCACTGCAGATCCCATCACGAGTACTACCCCACTGACACTACTCGGTACTCACCGCAGCGACCGTAGTATTCCTCCTCCTCTATCAACTATTCTCCGTCCCGCTCCGCCGTGCCAGGCGTCTCCACCGGCTGCGGAGGTCTGCTGGCTGCCAGGCGGCGCCGCAGCGCCAGCCGCACTCCCAGCGTCCGGACGAGCCCACTCTGCGCGCCGGGGGAGGCAGCTGCCGCCACCGCCGCCGCCGCCCGGCCCAGCCCAAGGCCCAGCCGGCCGCCGTCGGTAAACAAAGCGACCGCGCGGGCGGCAGCGGCGGCGCGCGGGCGGACGATCAAGAAGGATATGCAAGAACGCGAAACGCTGGCAAAAGATAACCTGAAGGACAGTGGAATTCCTTCCGCACATGGACGGTCAGCCGGGTCTTCGATTCCCCGTCTTTGCGTGAATAAATCGATATTGACGTTATACGGTCTCTGCGGCGGTCGGACGCCGAGGAGCCGCGCGTATCGGGCGGCCGCTGTGCGGGGTCTCGATGTCAGGGGCTGTACGGAGCGGCCCGAGCCAGCCGGCTGGCTGGCGCGCCGCGGCGGCGGAGGCCGGCCGAGCGGGCGGGCCGCGGCGTCAGCGGTGCCAGCCTCTGCGGGCGGCAGGTCACGGGTGGTCGCTGCGGCCTGCGGGACGGAACGGGGCCCGCTCCGTACCTTCAGCCGCAGTCGGTATCGGTCGAGTTTCAACTGAGACGTCATTGTCTAACGTTCTTGTTCATAGGACGATGACTACTTCGCTGTTCATTACGTCGGCAGTCGCGAACACTCGTCATCCAAAACGTTCCGGTGCACTCCAAGGAAACAGTTGACTTTCCTGCAGCACTTAACGAGTCACGGCGGGAGCCACAGCAATCGCTATCGCCGCCCCCGTCCCCGCTGTCGGGGCCCGGAAACGGGCCGCCCGCCTCCGACGACCCGAAGAGATCGGCTCCTGGTGACGTCACCGCTCGGTGAGGTGACGGCACCGCTGCTGCCGGCGGCCTTGGCCAGGTGGAACTCACCAGGCCCGCGGCGTCGCGCCGTCAGACGGAGGACGGCGCTCTCCAAACCGCTCCTCGGCATCGGGGAGTGACTGTCAGTCGGTCAGCACTCAGCACGCTTCGTTGTTCGGCGTCGGTAAGGGTTGGTTTTCCGTTTCTGTTCTACCCGTCAACCCACCGCTGATTAGGTCTGAAGACCGTATCGGCGCCGCGGTCACAGGCTCAGGAACTTGTGATCTGCGACAGTGCGACTTCAGTCCAAAGGTCATCCGTTCAGTGGTCCATACCGAATCACCGATTGCCTGGTGCATTGGTTTGACCCGTTTGATCGCTGGTATTTGGGCAAATTTCGGAGAGAATTGCGAAGACCCCATCCAGAAGGACACACAAGTCAGAGCTACGAAGTGCGATTCGAGCCAAATTCAATCGAAACTCGGCTGAAATGAGAGGCCATCGATCGAAACCCCCGATCACGGTGCAGCGGTTACTAATCCGCCTCCGTTGCCTACTCATTGAGATAAGCGAGCGTGGAGACGTCTGACGTTCGGTGTGGTGTCAGGCTCAGAGGAGTAGTCTCGTAACTCGCGAGTCCTCTCACCATGCCCGACACTATACAGGAAGTGCAGTCAACAGAAGCCGCCAGTCGGCTCCTGTATATGTGTTGCTGTGTTCCGTCGTCCGCCGGCGAGATACCGTGACCCGGTGGGTCGTCGATGGTTTGGGCCACCGACGACCCCTTGTGTCTTGTGAGGTTGATAGACATTCACATTTGATAGCCATTCCGAGGCTCCGCTGATGCGGGCGCTAGAGGTGTAGCTACGTGTATGCACGATTGGAAATCGTGTAACAGCAACGTCTGTCATAAAGCATCACAGAATGTAGGTATTCTTCACGATTTCATCCTTCACCTAAACGGTTCGCAACATTGCATTGGCTGTATTGTCAGGGCTTCAAGAAGAACAGACCCGGAGTTAATACCCAGTCTCTCTTGTAGAAAATAACTTTTAGGTACTGGTATCTAAGGGTATATTATTATGTTTTGTATTTTATATGACATGGTTGCTTTCGGCGTCATCGTAATTGACGCCTACCTGCTTCTCACCAGGTTAAATATTTAGAATTTCTAATAGGAAATTTAGAAGAAAAGGTTGACCTCAGGTCAACCTTTGACCGTGACCTTTTGAGGCCAACTTATATATCATTCGATGCGGATTGACGAGCTGAACACAATGAGACCATCCGCGCGGCTTTATCTTGTTCCTGTACGGAGTTATTGGCAAAAACCCTTTGGTGACCTTTGATGACGTCACATGACCTTACAGTTGCCCAACAGCAAAACAGACCTCAAGGTAGTGAAGGTTGATCGTATATGAAGTCATGTGTGGTATATGGGGCCATTCCTACCCGTTTTAGTGGTAAAAACAGGGAGCTGATAATATTCCCCCATTGACTTATAATTCGTCGAGAAATTGACCTGACCTTAGGTCACCGATATCAAAATTCCGAGATATACAAATTGTAGCTACTAATGACCTAATAACATCCTGCGACTTTAAAAGGCCTCCGACATCTACTGTAGCTCTGGCACGGTGACAAAGTTGCAAAAAAGTGACTTGAGGTTGGGTTATTCAAAGTGACCTGGTGACCTGACCTTAAAAGTTAGGAAGTTCAAACCTGGACACCATGTGTAAAATTAATGAGCTAATAGTCGTACTAAATTTCGCGGCGCTACGCGCCGCGGTTTTTCCGCTATTAGCGAAAAAAACCTCAGGGGGGCGGATATCCGTCCCCCCGTCGGTGCGCGTGTTAACGATTAACGGTTTCAAGTTTGCTGGAAGGTTATTCCCGAAACTGTCTTAGTCTGTCACATTTGAGTAACCAGGTGTTGGGTTTCAAAAGGTGGCTCCAGCAGATAGATTCACATTGCAAGACCAGGATCAGAATGTAAATCGTGTAAAAAGTACACGGAAATAAATGCAATAAATAGGCAAAACAGAAATAACCGATCGTCGACCAAAAGCTTTACTTGTGGTTCATGCGGCCAGCGGCCGAATCATTTGCATCAGGCGTGATTTGTTATATACCTATCATCCCGCACCGTAGACAGTGGTTACAAAATTGCTTCACGAACAAGGAGAGAAAACTATCAATCAGATGTCGTGTAACTGATTCGTAAATGTCTATGTAGACGATTAACAAACTGTTAAACGTCAAGTAGACATTTTGTCTAGTCTGAAATACGTCGTATTTTTTAAATAAAATGTATTTTTACCTTTAAGCGCCCGAAAGATATATCGGCGGTACGGGATAAGATTATTACGGAGCGAGCGAAGCGAGCGTAGTCTTTCCTTAGATTAACGGAAATTTCTGAGTATGAGCGGCCGGCCGGCCGGCCGGCCGTGGTCACGATTCTGCGACGCTTATATCTCAGCAACCACTTGACCGATTTACACGCGGTAATTTTTGCAGGGTAGCTTCATTCCTTCTACCAAGTATTGGACTATTCCCGATGCATGTGGGTGACCCCTTATGCACGTGCCACGTGCAAAATGAAGAGGTGTCACTTTTGTAATTGTTGCAATATCTCGGTAACTAATTGGCCTATTGCGCTGAAAGTTGGCATGTAGGTAGGCACCCACTAGGCAATGCATATCCATGTGCCAGAGTTGGGGTGCTGCTGCACGTGCGCACGTGCAGGGGTGGATTCCAGATCTCGAGAACGGCTCGACCGATTGCGCTCAAATTTGGTACATGGCTAGGGACCGGTTAGTAGGGTGCCGTGCAAAAGTCAGTTGGGACCCATTTTGCACGTGCGCACGTGCAGGGTGCCGCTTCCAGATCTCGAGAACGGCTGGGCCGATTGTGCTCAAATTTGGCACATCGCTAGAGACCGGTTAGTAGGGTGCCGTGCACAAGTCAGTTGGAGGTACCCCCTCGAAATTTCGCACGTGCAAGGCTCACCCTCTCGCTCGCTCCGTTAGTCGCCCCAAAAGGCGTTATACTGGTTAAACCGCTGGTTACGGAGCGAGCGAAGCGAGCGTAGTCTTTCCTTAGATTAACGGAAATTTCTGAGTATGAGCGGCCGGCCGGCCGGTCGGCCGGCCGTGCGGACGCTTTTGCGAGGCTTATATCTCAGCAACCACTTGACCGATTTACACGGGGTAATTTTTGTAGGGTAGCTTCATTCCTTCTACCAAGTATTGGATTATTCCCGATGCATGTGGGTGACCCTTTATGCACGTGCCACGTGCAAAACGAAGAGGTGTCAGTTTTGTAATTGTTGCAATATCTCGGTAACTACTTGGCCGATTGCGCTGAAAGTTGGCATGTAGGTAGGCACCCACTAGGCACTGCATATCCATGTGCCAGAGTTGGGGTGCTGCTGCACGTGCGCACGTGCAGGGGTCGTTTCCAGATCTCGAGAACGGCTGGACCGATGGCGCTCAAATTTGGTACACGGTTAGGGACCAGTTAGTAGGGTGCCGTGCACAAGTCAGTTGGGACCCATTCTGCACGTGCGCACGTGCAGGGTGCCGCTTCCAGATCTCGAGAACGGCTGGGCCGATTGTGCTCAAATTTGGCACATCGCTAGAGACCGGTTAGTAGGGTGCCGTGCACAAGTCAGTTGGAGGTACCCCCTCGAAATTTCGCACGTGCAAGGCTCACCCTCTCGCTCGCTCCGTTAGTCGCCCCAAAAGGCGTTATACTGGTTAAACCGCTGGTTACGGAGCGAGCGAAGCGAGCGTAGTCTTTCCTTAGATTAACGGAAATTTCTGAGTATGAGCGGCCGGCCGGCCGGCCGGCCGGCCGTGCGGACGCTTTTGCGAGGCTTATATCTCAGCAACCACTTGACCGATTTACACGGGGTAATTTTTGTAGGGTAGCTTCATTCCTTCTACCAAGTATTGGATTATTCCCGATGCATGTGGGTGACCCTTTATGCACGTGCCACGTGCAAAACGAAGAGGTGTCAGTTTTGTAATTGTTGCAATATCTCGGTAACTACTTGGCCGATTGCGCTGAAAGTTGGCATGTAGGTAGGCACCCACTAGGCACTGCATATCCATGTGCCAGAGTTGGGGTGCTGCTGCACGTGCGCACGTGCAGGGGTCGTTTCCAGATCTCGAGAACGGCTGGAC